GTATTCATTATCTTTAACTGAATCAATAAGGAATGGCAATATTTTTAGTAGAACAATCATTTGGCCTGAGGACTGCTTCAACTTATTGTCACTTGAAGCTAATGTGCAGTAAGCTATATTAAATAATTTCCCTCTGGGATTATTAAAGTATTTCTGATTCTGCTATAGGGCTTGGTCTGTCTCTGACATCAAGTGGAGAGTAGGGAAATCCAGCTAATGCAGTATTGAGGACATCCAAGTCTAGTTGACCTAAAAGAACTAAGTGTTTTATCACACACTTTATTTCTAATGGAGCAATGCCTTCAAGAATTACATGCATCATATCCTGGGGTGTTTGTTGGATCAGGTTAAAGGCCGGGAATTCTACCAGCTTGCTCCTTCTGTTGATGCCAAATGTAGTTTTTAAACTGTTTCTAAGATACTCAGTATTTGCCTTCTCAATGTCACCACACTGCCGGACATGTCTTTCTAGTGTCCTGAGCTCAAAGTTGTCCTCGTCAAAATACATTTGCATGTCCTCAAACGAACATTCACACTACCGGCACTTAATATAGGCAAAACCAACACCCTCTTTAAATCCACAAAGCTCATGTTGTGCTAAAGTGTCTCCACATATCGAAACCAATGCTCCAAATATTTCACGTTCACCATTCCCAGTTTGAATATTAACACCACCATATAACATTATCAAGTCCTCATACAACCTGCCCAAAATTCCATCAACTCCACATTCAGACAGCTCGCTTTTCTTTGCAATAGCAAGTAGACGGATTGCAGCTAGTTTTGATCTATATTTTGGATTAATGTTTCCCAGGGTATAATAAAACATTAGCAACTTATTCTTGGAAGCATGAGATCCAAGTGGGTTGAAAATTTCAATTTCATCAGAGTAAATGATTATCTGTAAAGCAGAGGGCCGGGCTGAAAAAAGAGGCTGTGATTTCATGAGCTCTCCATCTATGATGTCATACAAATACCCATTTCTGTATTTCTGCGGCTGATCTATCATTTCCAAAACCTTTGGATGGGACAATTACTGTTCTAAACTTTTGATCAGAGGTATATAATGAAAACATTTGGGTATTGTAGAGAGGACCCTTGTTGCCCCTTTTTTCTTCAAGCAGGCAGTATACCCCACAGAAACCTCCTCTGACTCCACAAAATTGAAATTTTCCTTAATCACATTGTCCTGCCTGTATGTTGTCGCAACAGAAGCAAATGGATCCTCAATCTGGTCAAATACCGCCATCGCTTCCTTTTCAAGTTCACTTCCTTGATGTTGCTGGAATACAGTTTGTAGCTTGCTCCTTAGATTAGTCACCAACAGAGCTTGGTATTGCTGCATTCCTGCCAAAACGTCATTCACACCTCGCTGAAAAACAAGAAAGGAGAGCAAATCAAATTCAAACAGTCCAGTTTTAAAATTACCATGTAATGCTTTCTATAAGGAAAATGACCATACAACCCATTTATAGAAAGTAACTTCAACACAACAATGCTTTTTCAACTAATTGATACACACACACAATGTGTTAAACTGCAGGCACCAGCACAAATATGCAAGATTTAGATCGAGATGTAGGCCTATGCCTACAGTTCACAGCAAGAGCAGTCAAGGCTACCACCTTTGACCTAATTTCTAAGACTGGACGTGTCAAGCAGATAATCAACAAAGCCACACATTAAATAATTGTAATAATGTTGTATATAAACAGACCTGTGAAAGATGGTGTTTTTCTCTTGCAGTTAACATCATAGCAATAGCTTGACTGGTCAAAGTGTCACGCCCGGCGTCATCCTTTAAAAAATAGAAAATTCAGTGTGTAAAGACAATGTTGCCACAAACACAGATATGCTAACAATCAAGTTGAGATTTGTGTTGGTATGCTGAGACATAAACAAAAAGAATGATGATAGGGCTTAGCTCAGAGGTGTCGAAAAATATAACTATAAATATTAATATGGCCCACTCATGAAACTTGGGCTGTATTCAAAACCCCATACTGCTTACTGCGTACGACACCAGTATACAATACTGTTGTTTTCAGTAGTGCCCAGTATGCAACAATTAATTATTACATTTATTGTGTACTGAAGGAAACAATTGGATTACCTTTGATTGACATGATGCAGAAGAGTCAACTGCAGCAGGACATGGAACATCCGCAATATTCAAAGTTTTATTTGAGGTACTATCAACAGTCTGGGACAAAGCAGGATGACTTGGGGAGATAAAGGTGTCATCGTCAAAGCCAGAGTACAAGGACGCAGTACTGTCAAATGCTCCAAAATGTTGTGGAGACACAGAGTATGGACAGGGCTGCACTCTGTTTTCTTCAATCAATACATCTTCAGCTTGCACTCCGTTTTCCATCACTGCTTCACCCGTTTGATGCTCTCTGTTTTCCGCCGTTGCTGGCCTGTATTCCCACACGTTTCTGTTCACCGCTGATGAGGTTTCCCGGCTTGAGGTCGCTGTTGCTGTCCTCTCTCTCCCGCCACTTTCCAGATGTTCACGGTGGTTTCTTCGAATGTGATACCACAGTGAGTTGTAGATTCGATACTCTTTGGAACATCCATCGATTCCACAAACAACGCGAAAATCTGGACTACGACTATGTGCAGAATTTATATGACTCAATAAAGATTTGAGAGTGAGGGCCACAAACACAGAGCAAATAACACAGCGCCAAACCATTTTCCCACCTGTTTTTAGCCTACATTAGCTAGCTGCCAAGTACCGCTTTTGCCTCTGACCCCAAGATGACCTCATACATCATGTGATACCAAGGGTACATAACATAAATCCGTGCCTTATAAGGACAGAAACGACCTTCTATTTATTAATTATGACGTTGATGTGATTCTATTTTAATAGTTATAAAGTAATATAAACTTATTTAGATCAATTTAATTTGTATAAATGCAAAATAAACTTATCTAGGGTGAGCGCCCACCCCCGCTCCCTCTGTGCAGATGGTACAATCCACCGTGTTGCGCTCTGGTTTTTCCCTCCAGAAGTTTGTTCGTTGCGTTTTCAAAAATAACTGCTTTGGTAGTGTGTAGCTGCTGGTAACCCATCATTGTGGAGTGTCAAATGTGGATATCAGTGGCGTGGAATTATGGATAAACTGGATGATATTTAAATTGCCACACTCAAAGGTATGTTAAAAGGCTTTCTTTTATGTTGTGCTGATGTTATATTTTACGTAGCTAACCTAGCTTAACGAGTTGTTAATTCCTAGCGTCAGAGAGGCTAATGGGCTAAGTGACAAAAACACAAGCTAGTACTTTTTAATTAAAAATAAAAAAAAACAATTGTCATTCTTTATTAAGCATTACAAAATATATTAACTAATGTGAAATGTGAATGCATTTTATCTAGTAAGGTTCTATACTTACTCTTACTGTAATTTATATGGCTTGAATATATATGTATCTAATTTAAACTGTACAAGAGGTGTCAGGGTGTTGCTATGTTCAAATCTAAAGGAATTCAATGATAACATCAATGTCTTAGTACTGACTGTAACTTGTCTATATTGCAGCTGCTAATATTGGAGAAGACTTATTACCTTTGCTTTCCCGTGATGACATCAAAGATCTGTTTCCTGGTCCTGAAAATTTCTTGAGGCGCCGGGCTATATGGCTTGTTGTAAATAAAGATGAAAAGGTAAGGTCTGTCTTTCACCGTATGACAGAACTGTTTAACAGTATAACAGATATTTCAATATCACAGAAATGTTATGTAACTTCAATTCAGGTCCATATACATAATATTTCATTATTTTAGACATTTCTGCTTTGAGTCCCTTTCAACAGTCCAACATATGCTTTTTTTCAAGTTTTTTTTTAATCCACTAAAAGATAATGTTATTCAATAAAATGTTTGTGTAAATGTATTGTAGGTGGATGCTGCTCCTGAAATTCTGCAGTCACCCCCTACTGGTGGCAGCGACCCTTCAAAAGAAGAGGCCAGTACTTCTAAATCTGTGACTATGTCAAACCCAGAATACATAGTCTTCACAGACAGTGAGCTTGAACAGGCACGACGCTACTACTTTGAGCAGAAACGGCTGGGGACCGAGCACAGCGTGGCCTTATCCAAGGAGCTCTTCTGCCGACTCATAAGAAACACGATGACCAATATGATTGCTATCGCAAGAGCCACAGAGGACTGCAGATACCCCACCAAACATGAGGTGAATGCCATGGCAAAACGGTTGGTGGATTACTATCCGATCATAAAAGAAAAGTCATCCAAAAGTGAGTGGGTGAGTATATTTTTGTCACTATTGCTTGTTGATGGTATGATGTTAACTGTACGATTTCAATAAATTCTATTCATACAGTGCTAAACCATAACAAAAGGTTCAAATGGAGCTAGACTTTGCTGAAAGCTGTAATTTCAGCTTAAGAAAACTTGAGTCTCAAGTTGTCATGTCATTTTTTTAATGTTTACTATGTATGCCTCGCAGGAGCATGTTGCTAAAAAGCTCATGAAGAGACTCTCAAATGTCAGAAGTCCAAGGAAGGCCAAAGCTCCTCCTTCAAAGAAACCACGACAAGATGTGGAAGTCACTTCAGACATTTCAACCACTGACTACGATGGAGATTCCAGTGCATCCACCATTATTCTGGAACGGTCACCTGTTAGTCCCATGGGCATCTCAGTGATAGATCTGTCACCTAGAGCTAGCACGCCACTGCAGAGCCGGGACAGCAGTGATGAAACATGTATGTATTGTATCACTTTGGCTGAGTTAATTCATATGATATACCCTGGACATTCAGCAGCTTTCGAATCTTTCAGTGTCTGTCCAAAGGCATATGTATTCTATTGTCCAATGTTTTGCTTTTATATCAAGTAAAATGAACTTACTTCTTTACAATTCCTGAGTTTCACTGACAACTTAGTTAGTTTGGAAATCTCATATCCTCTTTCCACCATAACTTCCCTCTAATGATTTCAGCTGGTTCAGTTGACCTCAAGGACAGCCCGAAAACCCAAGCAAGACATTACAAGACCCTCCAAGAAATGTTCAAGTCCAAAAAGCCAAACAAAGCTGCGATAACTCATTTGCTGAACCTGGAATTTGAGTCTCGAAGACGCTTCATCACGTCTGATCTGTTAAAGGAGCAAGACAGACCAACAAAGATTCTAGAGGCTTACCCATGTTTCCGAGAACTGGACCACGTAAGTAATGGTGGTCCTATTCAGTCCACATTTTCAGTTCTTCCAAGGACTTATTTTAGCACGACATAATTGCCATAATGTTCATATACGGTACCTTAGACATTATAGATCTTTTTTGAAGAATGTTAGTCATTCAAATGTTTGACAAGGACTAGCAGTGAACATTTTCTTCAGTGAATTTTCTTTCTGTATCTGAATATATTTTTCAGGTGCTGGATGAGCTGCAGCGAATCATCCAACCAACCAACTCCCAATACATCTCTGAGATGAAGAGCGTGATGAAAAAAACCATGAAGCCTCCTAAAACTTTGAATGGAGGTAAAGTCAATACATTGACTTGTTTATTTTAAATAATAATGTGTCATAAGTTATTTATGGTAGCACCTTGTCTCGTAGCACCTTGGCTCGGAACACAGCTGTGTTCCGAGCCCTGCCACTGCTCTTCCCGTCCAGCACCATGCCACCTAAGAAGCTGGGCTTGAGCAGCGAGGCTCTTTTCCATGTCCTTACGGTGAGATTTATGGACTTACTGCAATATTTCATACTATATGTTTTAGTTATTCACGCATACATTTTATGTGAGGTTTAGTTACTTTGAGATAAACTTTTTATTATTTCAAAAGGTCTAAAGGGGAAGTGTTCTCCATAGTGTAGTTGTTGTAATACTAACTTAATTTGAACAACAGTAGCTGTCGTGCATTCAGTATTTGCAGTACTCAACAATGACAGTACAACATCTTCTCCCTCTCACGGATTATTGTGACTATATGTTTTGAAGTACAATTATGATTTCACCAATGTCCTATTCCAGGTCAAAGTGTGTGTTACATGTGTTGTTTTTCTAACCCTATACATTGATTTGTGTCATCTAGACTTCAGAGGATCCTGATGGTTTCCTGCGCCAGCGACCACTGTCTTGTCCAGTCGTGCTTGTCTCTGAGGAAAACTGCATGATCGCCATTGGAAACATGCCAGTGACCACCTTCAACATTGAGAGGTTTGATGAGGGACTGCTCTACCTCATGGCATATTACTATGCCCTGCACCTCACTTACCCAAAGTGTATTTCCACACTTCTGTCAGTAGTGCAAACAGAAATTCTCCTTGATTCTATTCATGAGCAAGATTTGACCCCTTCCTACAAAAAAGCCATTGGCGAGTGGAAGTCCTTCATTCAGTGAGTCTCTTTGTTTCTTGTGTTTGTTCCTTGACACTGCCTCACTCTCTATCTCATGTAAGACTTTCAAAGAAAGTCAAAGTTCTGTTTCACAAAAGGTTTATCACTGTCACATTTGTTGGTGAAATTGATAACTTTTCCTGTAGAATATTATGCAGTAACAGCAGCTGCAAATTATATTTATTGTTATAATATGCTGTAACAATAGCAGATATAACATTCTGTTTTTTGATGGATGTTAAATCAAGTTATTGCATTGCAAATAAAAAAAAAATATATTAAAAATGAGAATGTTTTGGTGTCTTGATTTAAGAGTCACTTATTTTTATAATGCTATTTGAAGAAATTGTGTCTTATTTTAACTACTTTAATACTTATTATTAGTCCTAGATTAAGGTGTCATTTCTTAAAGTTAACTCAGTCAAGAGACCAAAATTCTTATTTTAAGTAAATTAATCTTGAATAAATGGGTTTTCATTGCCTTTTTATAGAAGAATTCACTTATATTTAAGATTTTCTGTCTAGTTTTAAGGCCCATTTTAGTCTGTCAGAGGCAAGAATTTTGTGCTTATTTTAAGAATTCTTGTCAAGTAAAAAAAGCTTACCCCATTGGCAGATTTTTTTGCTAGATACAAGATAATTTGATTGAATTTAAGAATATTTTGCTTCTTTCTAGTAGGTCTGTTTTTGCAGTGTGTGAGGGTCACTGTGTGAACACTGCCAAAGCAAAGTTTGAAACTTTACACATCTGCATTTAAATCTTTTTGTTTTCTTTATCAGGTGTGCCCCTCCCTGGCTGCCACCTTATCGTGGTGGAGGGGTTTGAGTGTCCCAGTGATCATAGGGGTTATGCTGTCCGGGGCTTCAAGCCCCTGGTAGGGTCACCCAAGGAAAACAGGTCCTAGGTGAGGGATCAGACGAAGCGCAGCCAAGAAGACCCCTATGATGATTACGACACATGGACCCAACGTTCCCTCGCCCGGGCGCGGGTCACTGGGTCCCCCCCCTGGAGCCAGGCCCAGGGGCGGGGCACCATGGCGAGCGCCTGGTGGCCGGGCCTTCACCCATGGGGCCCGGCCGGGCCTAGCCCGAAAAGGCAACATGGGCCAAACAAGCGGCCGAAATGAGTTTCCTCCGCAGGGTGGCGGGGCTCTCCCTTAGAGATAGGGTGAGAAGCTCGGCCATCCGGGAGGGGCTCGGAGTAGAGCCGCTGCTCCTCCACGTGGAGAGGAGCCAGTTGAGGTGGCTCGGGCATCTGATCAGGATGCCTCCTGGTCGCCTCCCTGGGGAGGTGTTCCGGGCTCGTCCCACAGGAAGAAGGCCC